TACGGAATGAGTACATGCAACGAGCACCGCGTATATGTGAAATTAAAATGAAACCAGAAGATACTAGTTTTGGATTCGCGGTTGCTAATGGTGAGAACAAAACACGATATACTCTCCTTCACGATCCGTCATCTAGACTATTTTTTAGGCAACGGTGGTTCTGGACTCTACATCCAAGACGTGGTACCAAATAGTCAGGCATACCTAGCCGGTTTAAGAAAAAATGATCGTATTCTTGAAGTTGACGGCAAAAAAGTCGAAGATGACGAGTCGTTATCGATCATAGCTAAGATTGGTAAAGCGAAATCAAAAAGAGCAGTCAAGTTATTTGTTGCTGATACACATACGTATAAACATTATAAAACGAATAATCAAAAATTTAACCCGCGTAGTGCAGCTCCTTCGATCACAAATCAATCGAGGAGTAGAGCCAGTAGTAGAGGTAAGTCGTAGTTTTTATAACATTAATATTAGAAGATTGTATGCATGACACAAGACGATCAAAAGCGAGTGTCAAAAATAGACGTGCAACATAAGAAAGCTTTTAATTATTAAAGTATGATATGCCGAACGTATTTTGATGAAATCCAGTACTTGAAACTTTAAAACATACTCTTTCAAATGACTAACTTGAAAAAAATTGTTCAGTTCTTTGAGCTCTATCCCCAACGATGTACTTGAAAAAATATCATCTCTTTTTTCGACTTTGCTATTTCATTTTTAGAAAAGGTTTAAAATTTCAAAATTAAAATTAAAAATTCTATACTGAATAAAGATATGATGTTTTAAGATGCATCTCAAAATATTTTAAAGTAACTTTAACTGATTCGAAATAATATTAACGACATTAAATTTTTTCTAAAAAATTATTTAGTTTTTCGTTTCTGTGCCGAAAAACACACTTCTGTATGCTCTGAAACTTTTTTGGATTTACCCATTTGAAAGAGTCTAGTTTTTAACCCTTAAGTGCTAGATTTCATCAAAATAGGTTGAGTAGTTACAAAAATAACTTTTTTCATGTTGCACGCCTATTATTTATTCGATTTCAATAAGTCATATGTCGAAATGATCGACTATCAGTCTAAACATTTTAATCTACGAAAACTAATAAAATGGTCAAATTGTGATTAATTAGTTCATCAGGTTCTAGTAAACATTAAAAGATATTTACTCACTCTACTTCGAACGTTATCCTTACCATGTAATTCTTACATAGTGTCAAAATAATAATATTCTCAATTTCAATCTTCATTTGCGTCACGAGAGCTGTGTTTTCCTTATAGAAAGACATTAGGGTAAAGATACACAAGTAAATGAATAAATGTTGTCTGATGGGTGTAGAACAAGAAAAATAAATTTAAAATCATTTAAAAACAAATAGTTTCAGCATCAGCGCTAACTTTTCGCCTTTCTCTTGGTTAATAGCATCATAGTGGTTAGTTATTAATTAATATGAACGCAAGCTACATAAATATAGATAAAAGAAAATGTCTATACATATTTTTAGGTCCAAGTATACAAATGGAGACAAATGGAGACGCACCACGATACATATCTGAACCACAACCATCACCAGAGCATGATGACGATATTCGATTATGCACAATAAATCGTTTAAATGAAAGTGATTCATTTGGAATTGAATTAATTTATCATAAACATGAACACTATCATTCGTTAATGTTAGTGGGTCATCAATCACTAGCACAACGTGCCGGTATTAAAAATCATGACCGACTCATTGAAATTAACGGTCAGAATGTTGAACAATTTGAACATGGACACGTGACAGAGAAAATTTTACAAATACGCAAGCCAGATCCCTTAAATAACCGTCTACAACCATTAGAATTACTTGTTTGTGACGAGCCAACATATCGTTATTATAAACAAAATAATTTGACAATTCATCGTTATTTACGCACTGTACGAAGAATAACGTCACAATCACAACCACCTTCGTTAAGCGGTAGAGGTATGCAGCGCAAAAGAGAGAGAGAACAAGAAAGAAAAAAACATTAACGGAACAGGGTTTGAATCATCATCATCTTTTATAATACGCTGTATAATATGTCTTTGAGAAAATAAACAACAAAACTCTAGATAAACTCTAACGTATTGTTACATAAATATATACAGATATTTTTTTTCGTCTTTTTGTTTTTTCCAGCGAGTTTCATTGAATCAACGAGAGAAACGCGCTTAGCAAGCGTACGTAGTAATGATAGTGATACTTCGAGTTCAACACGCCCATCAATAGTACAACAACAACCCTCTACGATAGAAGCAATCGTTCGCCCGCCTCCTCTATCAATTATTGATAATTATCCAACGCATCCACCACAAGAACATTTTTCAGCGCGCTCACCAATAGTAAACCATCCACCCTCTACGATAGAAGCAATCATTCGCCCGCCTCCTCTATCAATTATTGATAATTATCCAACGCATCCATCACAACAACATTCTTCGTTACAACCACGCACTCTCGAAATACGTAAAGATAGTCGTTTAGGAGACGGGTTTGGATTTACGTTTCAAACATGTCGGAGTGAAACACCGTATCGACCCTTTAACCACATCATCACAAGTGTTGATAAAGCTGCGCCAAGATCAAAAGATTTGAACATAAACGACTATATACTGTCTATTAATAATGATGATGTTGAAACTTTAACACATGAGCAATTACAAGATAAATTGAAACAAATGCCGAACAATAAAGATGTTGCTTTCTTAGTAGCAGAGAAAGATGCCCATCGTATTCATACACAACAATTATTAAATTCATTAGCGCAAAAACAATCGAATACCCAACAGATTTCTGACAATAACGTGAGAACATATCAATTACAAAAAAGTCCGAACGGATATGGTTTTCGAGTAACATATCAATCTAACGATTTGAATAGTTTTACACCACCTCAGATTAATTATGTCGCACCGAATTCGCCAGCCTCAGCGCAAGGTACTGTTGTGTCTATTGACGATTCATCATATCACAGCAGATCCTCTAGAACATAATTCAGTATCAAATATGGAAATACGAGGCTTTTTGAATTCTTTCAGAAGGTTCTTCTGTACCCGGAAGAACGTTCTTTATTACCGTGTAGCTAAAGAATAAGCAGTATACCATTCACCATGCTGAAAAATACTTTGGACTGATGGTGTGTGTTAATCTAACTATTTTAAGCCATTTTTTTTTAGGTTTACGTACAGGAGATTATATATTACGCGTTAATAATCGAGGTAATTTTTGTCTTTGATTCAAAGATTTTCAAATGATATTTTTATTTCTTTTCTCCTCTAAAGGTGTTGAACATTCAAATCAAAAAGAATTCAAAGAACTGATGGAAAGTATAATAAGTACTAATAATCGAAGTCAGAACCCACTTGTCTTAGACGTAATAGATGAAAAAACATATCGTACTATTCATCGCACATCGCCAATCTCCAACAATACGCAAAATACAGGTTCACGCTACACTATTCCAGAACCGAATAGAGACCGTATCCGTAATCCATCTACAGTATACGTACCATCAACAAGTATTTAGCTCTTCTTGACATGATGTGTTCTTGCTTCTTAAAACAATTTTTATGTTGTTTAGGTAATGATAGGTACAGTAGCCATTTGATTTTACCACAAGTAGTTCCCGATCATCAACGTTCGTCACCAACTCCTACTCCTACTATACACGGTAGTAATAGGCCTTTAAGTCGAGCTGCCGTGGATGTTATTGATGGAAAATTGATGTTACGTTTTTGTCGTTTGAATACAATTCCTGGAACACATTTTGGATTTGAATTACAATCAGATGAAAATAAAAGACACGTAATAAAAGATGTGAAACATGATTCACCTGCAGGTAGATATTAGTAATAAGATATTTGCCAAAACACATTTAAACTCGACTTTTCTACATTAGCTAAAGCCGGAGTACATAACGAGGATCGTGTAGTAGAAGTGAACAATGAAAATGTTGTTAACAAATCTCATAAAGGTAAGAAAAACACTAGCGTGCAATAACATTGTTATTGTTAAAATCATTATTCTTTCTCTATTCCATTTTAGATGTGGAAACACTGATTAAAAATGCCAGTAACGATGGTCTATTACGTTTATTAATTGAACCCTCCAATGTGAAGGCTGTGAGCGGAACAAAAGCCAAAACAAAATCATTAACATCATTAATTGATCCAGCTATTTATCATAATAAAGGTTCAGAATTATTTGTTGGTCAAAATACTCCATACACAAATAATTCTTCTAGACCGCACTACAATCCCTATATATCTCAAAAAAACCAAGAGTCAACAATGGTCAGACATATGTCAACATCGGGTATAGATAACGTCGGCTCGTTTGATCAAGATTATTTTCCGTATAATGTAAATGATTTTAACCAACCGCCTCATTATAGTACAGGTTCAACGTCTGCTATTAATCCATATATATCGCAACAAAATATACCATTAGATCCGTTGCCTCGACAATGTTTAATTATACGAGATCCCAAATTTCGAGGCTGCGGATTTAAATTATTAGAATCTGACAATTACGATACACCAATTATCACTGAAGTAAAACAAAATAGTCCGGCGAGACGTTCAGGGTTAGCCGAAGGAGATCATCTGATTTATATTGATGAGAGAAATGTACAAGTAATAAAATTATTTAATGAAATGATACAGTTGATACAGCAAAGATTCGAAGAGCGAGGAGAAGTAAGAATAAATCTGTATAGTACGTTATTTAAACACTACGTTTACATTTTTCAGATAACACTGGTAACGTTGACGCCGGCCGCTTATAATACATTGAAGAGAGAAGGTGGCTATTTAAAAACCGATCAATTTAATTATCTATATCCTAACGACGAATTAAAAGAAATATTTCCACCACGTCTATGTAAAATCCAATTATTAGATCACGAACGAGATTTTGGTTTTACACTTCAGAAGGCAAATCCAATTAATATTAAAGATGTCACAAAGGGATCAGCTTCATACGAATATGGTTTGCGACCAGATGATAAAATATTGGAAATAAATGAACGTGATACAACAACATTAACACCAGAGCAAATTGTCGAGATGATTGATAGTGGTAAACGAAAACGTAATATAAATTTACTCGTTATAAGTAATTCTGGTTATAACTGGTGTCAAATGCATGCAGTACCATTAAATTCATCATTGCCATTTGTGAAAATAGTCGACAGACACGGTAAGTTCAGTTTATTTTATCTGTGTATGGTTAGTTTCGACCTCACGTACTTTATTTGAATCGTAAACTGACGTTTAAAATTAAGATATACTTTCTAAAGTTTTCTTCTACCTACGAGAATCTAAACAAATAGTTTACCATCGTGAACACATGTACTGTTTCTAGTTTTCCAATGTGAAACACGATGTCTCTATGAATTCCCAGATCATAGTCTTTAACATTTTAATATGTACCTAAGCTAACGGTGAGTTAGTTTTAAGTTTAGAAAAACACCGTATATAGATACACACAATTTTATGCGTTTTTTTCCTTTTCATGAAGAAACATTCACGGATAGGTCAACTTGTTGAAGAATTGTGCGCACTCTTTGTCTTTGATATTCTTTTTGTGGTTATGATCCTTTTCTAGTACACGTTGTATACTATATAGCGGATGCACTTAGTCGTCAGTCCTCGTACCATACATCTGATTGCTATTATGTCCTTTTTTCCTTACCGAACTTTTCTCTAGCACGTATAAAGATATTTATCGTCGTCATTTTAAGCATTTTCTGCATTCCGCTGCATTTCCGCATTTAAGTTTTTCCTCTGAGTTAAAAATTCATTTAAACTCATCGTTATCATGCACTGAACATATCACCGACAAAAAAATTAAAGTTCATTTAGAGTTAAAGAAAAGTGCTTTTTCGTATTCAGCACACTTGATAACCTGGAAAATTTTCTGTTTCTAGCGAGGGGTACCGACAAAAAGTTAAGAAAAATTTTCAAAATTGTATAATTTTACCATGGAGATTTTTCTGCATCAATTTGTTTGAAAATTTTTCTTAACTTTTTGGCGGTATCCTTCGCTAAAAGTAGAAAATTTTCCAGTTTATCAAGTATGCTGAATACGAAAAAGCACTCTCCTTTAGCTCTAAACAAACTTTAATTTTTTTTATCGGTGATATGCTCAAACAAAATATGCTTCTTTACATGAATTTCTATGTAGAGTGTTTAGCTTCTTTACTTTCAACGTGAGATATATGACATTTTTTTCTATAGTTGGCTTACATTGTGTAAAGAACACTACTAAAGAACGTCTGTAAATTAAAGTTTTGAAAGTTTTTCATTGTAATTCGAATATAAATTCCGATATCTTTTAAGCTGTCTTAGATGAGTTATCACTTTATCTTTCATTTAAGTTATTAATCTAGTGTTAGTTAAGTTAATAATGATAATTGAAATTTTATTATGTAAATGTCAAATAGTGTTAGAAATACGTCATAGATAATCATCTGTGATATATTGATCATGTGTTACAGGTGAAATCGAACTACTTTTTATACTATCTTATACTATATTTTTATAACCCCGTTAATATCTATACAACATTATTATCGTTAATTTTGTTTCTGTTTGGATAATAAATCGTAATCTTCTAATCTACAGTTACGTGTAATTTGCACAGTATTGATATTTTAACAATGTTCATTACTCTAGTCACAAATATTGAAACATATACCAGAAGAGAAGTTGTTGTTACATTTACTCTTTTTCTCTCTCAAGAATATGTTCAAGAGTATAGTGAACCCTATCGCAACATAGTACATGCACAAATATTTAAATTAGTGTGTATATGCATAAAATGGATTTACCCTTCAAAGGTGAAATAAGAGGACGAAGAACACTATTTTTATACATAAAAGAACAAAAAAGCACGCACGTTTACGGCTTGTTAAAATACACAAAATATTGAAAATAAGGAAGAGAGAGAAAGAGAAAGAGAAAGAGAGAGAGAGCGCGCGCGCAAGAGAGAGACGATGAGTGTCTCTAATAATGAAACTGTATTGAACAATTGTACAAATGATTAACATCACATTCAGACAACACATTTTACTTTCTATTACCTTCTACCATATTGTAATTATATAAACATTTATCTGAGAGAACTTCTTTTGATTTTACATGTTATTCATACTTCTAGCATATTATCTCGAACTATGTCTATGCGAATGTAATTTTGTACTGTAATAATTTGTATAAGTGTGAACAGAATAGAACATAAAGAAGATAGATGCGTATAATTACATTTTTATCTAGTGAAAAAAGTCAATGAATTTAATAATCTAATTATGAGTATTGTACGAAAAACATTTGTTTGTGTATCCGGAAAAGGTGTTCGAATTAAGCAGTCCAAATCAAAGGTAACTAAGAAAAACATACATCAATGACAATCACTATTTGATTTCAAATAGACGTTTGACAGTATGATAGGTGTTTTAAATTACAATTTACAATAATTTTTTTAGGTTACAGAAAAAATTTTAGTCAAGGAAATTTGGACTGGTTCTTAGTGCGCACACGGTTTCCTGAAACTGCCTTTCTGTAGCTTTTCTTTGAACTATTTCCTTTCTTCAATATTCAGTAGAAGAAAGAGTTCTATGTAAAATATTGCAAACTTTTGGGAATATCGATCACCAAATTAGTTCAAATGAAAAAGGACAACTTGCATAGGTCGTATAGTTGCATGTCTTCAAGACACGCAGCTACAGTGTCCTTTTCTCTTATAGATGGTTAAAACTCTTCGAAACTCAAAGAAGCATAAACAGAGTTTAGACAAAATGCATACGTCTTCGTCCTTATTGTATTAATTTGTGTACGAGTTGCTAGACAAAGAAAACTATACTCATTTTTTCTAACATATGTTTGAACATTGAAGTTGACTCGATATTCAAACAATGTTCGCGTTGACTTCCGAGACATTTGTTTTCATGCAAAATTATTTTATTTTATTTTTAGGATATTATTAATTCAAATACAGTTGATTCATCATTTTTTGCTGAAATTAATCATTTTAAAGCAAGGTTAAACGCATTGGAAAAAGAACGATATGAACTTGAAGAAAAAGTTAAAAGACTACAGGTACTTATCTAATGAATGTTGAAATTATTAAATTATGCCCTAATAAAAATAATTACAGGATGAAAATGAAACATATAAAACAAAATTAACATTAAAAGAAAAAGAATACAATTCTAAATCAACATCGGCTCTCAATAATGGACATTCAACACCACAATCCATAATTGGTAGGTTATCGATAATATCTTAACGAGTTTTCTTCCTTGTATGAGAGGCAATCTCATTCTCAATGAATTTTTAATATCAAACACTAGGTAACCTTAAAACTTTCGATGATTCATATATACAAATAATGTAGAATATTTAATGAAAGTTGTAAGTCAGAAAACAATTTCTAGACTAAATTATAATTTTTTTGACGATTGATCTCAAATTTGAAAGTAGTCGACCATCGTAAAATAGCTGTATTGCAGTAATTATTAATAGTCAACACATGGAATCTATGTCATAAATATAAGAGACTCATAGCTAAATTTTAGTGTAAAAATAAAATGTTTATTACCCAAGTACGAAAAAAGTTACATCTATATGAAAGGCACACTTATCTAGTTCGAATCGAGCTGTAGTGAAATATATAAAAGTTTCATCTAACTTTGATTAGTGCAGCGAGATGCTATTGATTAGTTAGACAATGAATTGTCCAATACCGTCGGTTGAACAGCGGTCAGTTCAGCTAGAACACAACTTCCTCAGCATTTATCTAGATAAATTAATTACTTTCATCTGATTCTGCAGCTAGATTTTCTCACTTTCTTAGTTTTATTGAGGATCCCTTAGGTCACAAGTTATTAGCATTTTACTGAAAAAATAAATGGAATCTGCATATTTCACGAACCATCAAGTTAAAAGAGGCTGATACTTGTTCAATATCTGACATATCATGTTGTCTATACGTACACAAAATTTCACATTTAAAGCTATTATAGTTTCTTAGGTCCTAGGGAAAGGGAATACATAGTTATGTGAGCGAATTTCAATTGTTTTATTGTTTTCATGAAAATAATCATAGAAATACTTTTGATTTATTATAATTAATAGTAATATATTTGAAAAAATTTGTTGCAGATTTTGAGCTGAGATATAAATACAGGTAATATTTATTGTATCGAATGTCAATGTTTACCGTTTTAATGTATAATTATTGTGTATGTAAATCATAATATTATCGATTTATTATTTAATACTGCTGTATAGACATGATAGTTCGTTATTTCATTGTTAAGATCGACAATAATGAGTATAAGAAATAGTTTTTACAATTATCAGAAGATGCTATGCTTGATGTTTTTTTTCTGTTAATCAAGAATAGGTTGAAATCATACTATATCAGAGTAAGATGTATGATTTATATTTTTACATTTTATTTGTTGAACAAAAGTGACCACGACTATAAGGGACTTGTGAAACTTTTATGTAAAAGAACGTGTGAAGTCATCAACTATTAAACAGATGATTAGCGACGCTTCGAAATAAGTACTGTGAACATCCTTTGGATTATTATTTTATCAGTGATTGAATAAGAGTTTCGTTCTGATAGTTGTCCTATGTAATTCTTAATAATTATCATTCAAAACTGATTTTATCCTTTTATTTTTACCAATATAATCTCAGCTCAATTTATTATCCCTATGTTATCAAGCCGTTATCTTCCTATGGTATGTTGAATGAAAATGTTTTGGGCAAAAAATTTAAACAATGATCATCTATAGCAGAAATCTGTTTTACAATAATCGACTCTCATAAACCTGTGTACCAATTAATTTATTTTCACTTTTTTTCTGTATATACAAAATATTTTCACTCAATCGTTTATTTGATTGTGTATATATGGTAATGATTATAAAAAAAAAACCCTGAAAATTGCATCTTCTCGATTATTAGTTTCTCTCTCTCTGCCAAAAAGTATGATTTTATTCCTCTTTTTCTCTACTGCACACCATGAGAAGATACATAGATGTAATCACGAAGGTCAAGCAAATATCTTGTATGATAAAAATAGATACATTACTGTATTTATTCCATTCATTCCATCTTTTTCTCTTCTTCATTACGTATGATAGTTCTCTTTGCAACAGATAATCATACATATTTCTTCCAGCATACATAATATAACCAGAGAGAAGCAAATTAATCAGTTGACTGTATTCACATTAATTTTACTTCTTTGATCATCCACATTCTTCATAAAAAATTTATTTAAAAAAAAAAATGAATTATATTGTACCTAAACCGTACATATATGATCCACTTGTATTACTTTATGGTCGTGATTATTGTTTGTCAACATTTCCATCACGTTACTCTATTCGTGGTAAGAATTCACTTGTATATATTCGGAAGTAACAGTTTTTTTTTGCTGTTGCTCAAGGTCATACGAGTTTACGCGACTTGAGCATCTGGCATCCATTTTCTTCCTCTTCTCATATATATGTATAAATTCATGTACTCTCTATCAGTCGTATCTATGTACATGTGTCTAAATATCGTGTCTTATGTGTCGTTGAAAAATTTTTTTTTATGTAGTTTTTTTCTAAAGAAATAGAGAGAAATGTATATGAATCGTATATCTTCTCCTGTTTTTATACTCATCGTGTCGTTTTTTTTTCTTCTTAAATAATAGAGAATGATGTTGAACGATTGAAACGTCGAATTGATTCATTAGTTAAAGCAAACGACGACAAAGTAAGTTGAAAATGTTCGAAACTTGACATTTATTGAACACTAAAATTGATTTTAATGAAACTCACTCCTTGCAAAAGATCAAAATTCTCATTTTCAGCATTACTATTTTTTCTCAATCGAGATTTTTTTGTTATTGTTGTTCATCTCAAAACAATTTTTTTAATTGAACCTAAGTCCACTTTCTTATCACATGTCGTGATTGCGAGCTCTTTAAAAATTCGTGGCAGGATCGGATAACACGTTCGCTGTAAGTCTCACGAAATAAGACGCGATTTTTTTGCGCTCATACAAAAAATCGATCTTGACTCAAGTATTTTAGTATAGTTGCTATTTTACCGCGAACGTGGACGAATGGCGTACGCACTACGCAAAACTATATTAGCCATGTCGTAAACTATTATTAAGTTGTGATAAGATTTTGGAAACGTTTCAAAAAATCAGTGAGAATTATATACGCGGCGCGGCTCCACGATCCAAGCGCGATCACTATACAAAAAAATTGTCACGTCGCGATCGCGAATTATAATTTTTTTAAAAAATAATCGAAACGATCGACAACAGCGACTTGTTTACGATCGCGGTACGAGTTGTGCAATTTTAGCGTGATCGCGACGTGAATGAAGCAAGAAAGTGGACTTGAGAAATCTAGTCTATGAAATTGATATCTGTATAGGAAAAGAAGATTGAAGAATTGCAGCAACAATTAGCAAAATATCAGCCACCTATTACAAATTCATCACCGACGAAAAAAGGTAACTGTCATAGATGAAGAAGACAAAATGAAACATTTTTTCATCTTTCACATAGGATATGAAGCAGATGGCGATAATTCGGATAGTAACTCGTTACCATCCGTGAGTAGTGATAAAGATTCACCGGTGAGTATAGAGTGGAAGAATAATGTACATATGAATACAGTTGATGAGTATACGATGAATTTACTTTAATATCAAGGAATCTCAAAAGACGTCCAGTTTTCCACCACCAAGATCCAAAACTCGCTCTCATACTGGACATGATGGATTAGCTAGTGCACCCTATCATAATCCATTAACAAAATTAAGACTTGACGTACTTCATCGAGTAAGTTAGATATTCTTCTATACTCGATATAATACGATAAAATTAATTGTATATAATTTAGGCTAGTAGTGCTGAGCCAATGATTACAAGAGAAATTAGTGTACGTATATCAATGTTAAAATGTTTAAATGAGCTAAAATTTTAACAGACTAAAATTATTAATATAGACTCCAGTGCGTGATAAACAACGAACATCCACGAGAACATTACCATCCAATGATAGAGCTCATTCGTGTAGGTGTACGTATAATAATTATTTGTATAACAATAAATGATAGTAGATTATTACTTATACTTATTTTTATTTTTTTTTTTGAAGTTGATCAGAGTGGATACATTTCCGATGGACCAAGTCATAAATATTCATTATACAAAAAATCATCAGCAACAAATTTAGATAAAAATAAATCATCGAGTGCTAAAGGATTAAAAAGTATTTTTGGAAAGTAAATATTATTAAAATTGATACGTTGTTTTCTTTATTATTTACAATTTATTTTATCTTCTTCTAGAATTATTCGAACAAACTCAGGTAGTTTTCGTGATGATAATTCCGATCATAGTCCTTTTCAACGAGGTGGACTACGAGCAACGACAGGTGGAAGAACAACGTTTAAACCACTCAAGTATATTATTTTTTTTATCAAATGATTTGATGATATTTAATTCTTTCAATTTATCTTAGTGCTCTTGAAACAACATTTTCTCGATGGTCTACTGAACAAGTTATCAATTGGCTGTATGGAATTGGTCTTGGACAATATACAAGTGAATGTCGAAAATATGTTAAAAATGGACTTCAATTGTTGCAAGCAACACCTCAAGAGCTTGAAAAAGTATCTATTAATTGAAATAACTTCTTTTACATTTTTATAATTATTTGATATTTATTTGTAGGATATTGGCATGAGAAATCCGTTACATCGAAAAAAGCTTCAGTTATGTTTAAATGGTTTATGCGCTCGTAAAATGGAAGGAGAACATATTAATTTGCTTGATACACACTGGGTTCAAAGTAAATTAACATAATTATCATAATTAAATATAAAATTAACAATTGATTTTATTTCAGAATGGCTCGATGATATAGGTCTACCTCAATATAAAGATTATTTTGCCGAATCAAAAGTTGATGGAAGACTATTACATAATTTAACGCTTGTAGGTGTCGATAATTGTTCACAATATGATATAAATCTAAATATAATTTTTCTCTATAGGAAGATTTAATGTACTTAAATATAACAAATGAACTGCATCATCTCAGTATTAAACGTGCTATTCAAGTACTAAGATTAAACGGTTTTAATCCAACTTGTTTAAAACGGCGTCCAGCGAATGATGATAAAAATGATATGACAGAAGTTATGCATTGGACAAATCATCGCGTTATGGAATGGCTAAGATCAATAGATCTTTCGGAATATGCACCAAATTTACGTGGCTCAGGTATTCATGGTGGATTAATCGTTTTAGAATCACGTTTTAATTCAACAATATTAGCTGAAATTTTATCTATACCATTATCAAAAACATTATTAAGACGACATTTAAATATGAGATTTACAGAATTAATTGGTAAAAAAGAAAGAATATCAAATATTTAATTTTATTTTTATTTATTTTCATTTTTTCTTTCTATAATTAGGTGCCGAAATACAACATCGAAAATACGAATATGAAAAATCGACTAGTTTTCAACCACTTACATCACATACAAAAATAAAGGTAAATTTTTTTAGTTAACAAAATATCGACGAAACAAAGTGTTATGTTTATAGTATCATTTTGATATTATTGAATTAAGTATATCTGATAAAAATGTTCTTTCTGTTTTCTTTTTTGCATGGGATATCTAAAATAATCAGATGCTCGATATATCGTTTATTTGTCAAGTTTATATCTCTCATTATATACAACTAAAAAAATTAAATATATTATAAATTTTTTTATGAATAGAATTTTGATAATTTTCTTTGAATGATTCAACACGATAAACTAGATATATGAAAGTAATAAGCAATGTTTGAGTACAATATAAATTGTATATAATAATAATATTCAAACTAATCAATATGTTTATAAATGAATGAAATTATAGAGGTACGTCAATATGACTTTCGCCAATTGACAAGTAACCATGAGATGTGTTGACGAAAGTCTCTCAATTCAAATCAAATCTTTTTTTTTTTATTAAAAAAAAAATTGTAACTTACCTTGAGAGACAATGTAACTCAATTATTGGTAAAAAACCATGGATTGTATTGGTGAAATATCAGTGTACTTCTACAGTTTGATGGAAGTAATATTGACGTACCTGTCGATTCTTGAATGAGTTGTTGTTTAGAAATAAGAAATTAGAAATATATGTATTGTTCAGATTCACTATGATAATAAAATGAACTATTCAATATGTTTAGCAATAAAATTCTTTGTTATTCCCATCTATTTGAATAATGAGGTGGTGTCTCATAAATATTTCCATTTTTGTTTTAAAACTAGTATTTTAATATGATTAGAACATTAATTAAACATCATTGTACTCTCTGAACTTAATTTAATTCTCTAGTAGTCAAATTATTATATTTATTTATTGTATTTTTTTGTTTTTACGAGGATCAGATAGATTGTTAATGAGTTGATCATCAAATACTGTTACAACAGTATGATAGCTGTATCTGAAGTATGTTAAACACACTGATAATAATGGCTTCAAAGATTAGTATTCGCGGTATGACAGACAAAAAAAATGTCATAGAATAAAAGTAAATATTAAAGGAATATACCCGATAAAACAAGAAACATATACCGAGATCTGCGGCACCACCACTCTCATCAAGGATGGAGAAATAGATTTTAAATAGAATACGTTGTTGTCTTTATTTGCTTGTTTGAAGTACAGAGTGTGCCATCTTATTGTGTGCGAAGCAGGTTTTTTTTTACTTTTTTTTGTTGGTATGTTGTTACATTGTGAGAGAAGATAATCAATGTTATGTTTATCTAGAAAATTAAAACAGTAATTAATTTCTTGTGGTAAATAAAGAAGTTAAAATTTCTGCGTGCAAATCTAGCCTTGCTATTAATAAGTTTTTGGGAAAATTCGATGGACCAATGGACAACAACCTTCTACTCGAAAAGTAAAGTCTCAGAGCCATCCGCTACCAGCTCACATGACTGAATAATACCTAAATTTACCTATGAATAATCGAATGTGCAATAATCCGTTTAACATTGTATTGACTTGGCTTTCCCATAAGTTGTACTATAGATAGATCATCAGGAGTTATTATCAATTGTTAACGATTGATTTTACTATGTACATCTCATATTTTCATTTATATTTTTATTCTTTATTTTAGTTTTCAAGAGGTTTATTTTCTCATCGACGAACAAAATCTGTTGAATCCGAAGATTTAGTCTGTCCTATTAATGAAAATGGAATATCACCAAGTTTAAAAGTAAATTAAGATTCCATGTTTTTTTTTTTGCGATTTTATGTATTAATAACTCAAAGTTCAACACCATTCAAAGCTTAACGTGTGTGTAAATGGATATTCAGCTTGCTTTGCTCATTTTAGCGCTTACAACGAACAGATCATCCGTTGACGGATACAACTGAAGATGAAGTGCGTCTCTTAATGATAAAAAAAGTTTTTGCTATGAAAATTTTGCTTTTTTTTTTTCCACTGCATGAATAATAAATGCATGAATAATTTGGATGTCATAGTACAACGGTATACTGTGCATGCTATAAAGCGCGTTTTTCTCCATTACTGATGGTAATTATTAGGGAATCTTTTACTTTAACATTTGTCATCGTACCATCAGATTAACGAACTGGGAAAAGCATTGAATAAATTTTTTTATCCATTCTGGAAAGTTTAACGTATTGTTTAAAAAAAAATTATTTCACTTAATTAAACTTGTATTTGCTTATTCAACTGTTAACAAAAACATTTTATTTTGCTTGATTAGAATATGAGGATGCTGGTATTTTCTGGTGGTGAATCATATAATAATTATGACTTCTTTTTTTTCATAAATATTAAATTTATTAATTTTTTTTTTTAGCTTGTTTTGGCACATGATAGTCCCACAACTGTTGTCTGAAATCAAAACAGATATTTAATTTATTCTATTCTTGTTACAATTTATAGCACACTTTGCTCTCGTTTTATTATTTTAAATTAATATCCGTCCAGTCAATATTTCGTCGTTATATTATTTGTTTGTTATTTACTATCATTTATCGATATATTCGAGTGAATGAACGCGATATTAACAGAAGCATAAGTTGACTTATAATTATCCAACTATCGCGTGTTTTTTTACTGTACATATTTTTTGTTTTGTTTTGTTGTTATCGTAATTTTTTTAAGCCAAATGATAGATATAAAATAGATTCTACATTCTTTAGGTAAACAGAAATGTGAGAAGGGTTTAATATACGATTGTGTCTTTTTTTTATAGTTGATTGTCAATGAATAAAAGTTGTTTCATAGGTTTTCTGGTTTGAAACGCTATTTTTTTTCTCGTTGTCTTCAGAACTGATTGACTTATTCAACGTTAAGCCAGAAGACAACTAGAATTCAGAGCTGGGGAGTTGAAGCCAGAGCTGGACGGGAAGCGTTGAGTTCAGGGCCGGAGCCGATGTGTGGATGATGATGTGCGCGTTCGATCGAGGTAAAAATGACACTCTTACGGCAGACAGTTATATGAGTGTGTGCGCTGATGACACGTTAATATATGCTGCCTCAGTCTTGACCGTCTTCTATTAAATGTAACGCTTTCGAAAGAAGATTTTTATATATATATGTAGTTATGGAGTATATTTGTACTTCAAAGCGATTTTCATTTTCATATTTTTCCTTATTTGAAAGCCTAGAAAATTCAATCGAAAGAAAAACAAGGAAAGATGAACATCTTTTGGAGTCGGATGTAAAAACTCTAGGAGAGGAGCCGGAGCCGGACAGAAAAACTTGGAGCAGGAACTGGGGTGGAGCCGGAAGGGGTCGGAGCTGCCCAGCTCTGCTAGAATTTTGATACTTTCATATGAAAAACGCTTCAAACAATATTTTCTCTTATGTTGAACAAATTAAATCGATTCAAATATTTCCAGTTAACGTATAATAGAAATGTGAAATAAGTTATCGGCTGACTTAAAGTAAACGCTTCATAAAACCTCTATCAGTTCATAAAAACTTGCATTACTAATATTGTTACATGTTCGCGT